GTCTCTCAGAGATCAGGATCATGCTGCTGGGGGAGAGATGGTCTGGGAGGAGCTCGGCAGGAAACACCATCCTGGGCAGAGAGGAGTTTGACACTAAGAGAGGAATGGAGGAATTTGAGAAGAGACAGGGTGAAGTAACTGGGAGGCAGGTCACTGTAGTTAACACACCAGAATGGTATTTCTGTGTTCAGTGGTACTCAGGTGGACAGGAGCATCCTTTCGAGGACACTCTAGACTGGAATAAAAAGGTGATTCAGCCCAGTGTGTCTCTGTGCCACCAGGACCCCACGCTCTCCTCCTGGAGATTAATCTGGACTCAATCACAGACCACTGGAGATCAGTGGAAAAGCATCTCAATCTTCTCAGTGAGAGAGTGTGGAAACACACAATAGTGCTGTTCACCTGGGAGAACACACTTAGAAACACAACCATTGAGCAGCGCATTGAGAGAGGAGGGAAGGAGCTCCAGTGGCTGGTGGAGAAATGTGGGAACAGGTATCATGTTCTCAACAACAAGAACAGGGGCGACCACACTCAGGTCACAGAGCTCCTGGAGAAGATAGAGGACATGGTGGCAGGAAACTATGGGCTGTACTTCACAACTGACATTGAGCAACTACACACTGAACCAGAAAAATATATTAAGCTAAAGGAGGAGAAGAGACAGAGAGAGACAGAGGGAGGGGGAGAGACAGAGAGAGACAGAGGAGTTGAGACAGAGGGAGGGGGAGAGACAGAGAAGTTGAGACAGAGAGAGGAGGAGAGACAGAGAGAGACAGAGGAGCTCACACAGAGGGAGGAGGACAGATAGAGAGACATAGGAGCTCAGACAGAGGTTGGAGGAGGAGTGAAGCAGGAGAGAAGAGGAGCTGAAGGAGAAGATGAGAAAGACATTGAAGGAAGAGGAGCTGGAGAAAGAGACAGAGGAGCCCAGACTGGCTGTCAAGAGGAGAAACAGTAAAGAATTCAACCCTCCCAACAGTGAGTGTGATTGAAGCTGTATTACTGAGTCACTGATTTTACTGGTCATCAAACTCAGAGATTCAACCATCTTGTTTCCTGTTAGGAATTAAAATAATACTGTGCTCCGCTCTGTACTGTATTACTAACAGTGGCACACAGATGTGTGTCTGTTTAAATCCTCTGTGCTGTAATTGAACTGTTTTCTATCTGGATGATTAGATTTAATCCATCACACAGCAGCTCAATCTCTGTAATATGTTCCTCAAGACTGTCTGACCAACAATCAATCAATAATCTAGGCTTATTTATCAATGCACGAACAGTACAGCACACAGCAGTGTTGTCGGCATTGAAATGCTTTCGCCGCGAGTTGGTTAAAGGTTCGTTAAGAGGGATAGAAGTGTAGAAGGACAGGAATTTATAGGGGTTAACATTAGGATACAACAGATTACACAATTGCAATTTACAGATAGTGCAGAGGTAACACAAGGATAGGTGGTATTTACAGATGCAGCCATTCAAAGTGCGCGGTACAGACACGTACCGGAGGTAATTGGCTACTGCGTC